TGAGAGAACTTTGGGCCGGCGGGGGTCGCAGACGGCAACCTTTAACCCTTTCGGGGACAGCGCTCACTGCGGCGGACAGCTTATCGTGTCGTCAGGCTACGTGAAAGGCTTCGTGATCTTTCTGCTTGGTTGCGGTTTTTGGTCAAGGTCTTCTCTGACTCTGGAAAACATTTTCAGACGGAGGCTGCCGACCGACCGATGGATCGAACGAGTCACCGAAATATCACAAACAATTTAGGTTGGCGCATTTTACGCCATTTGAAAATTTGAAATCGGGTTCCGCTTCTGAATGAAGGAATGCAAAATTTGTTTTCAGTCAGATTAAGAAATTCAACGACAAGTAAAATTGCGGCCCTAGTTTGATGTTTTTATTTTTTACGGTGGTGCCTTGGGGTGTACACGTTGGATCGATTCTGTGACAAGGTCATAAAAAAATAATAAACCGAGCATCGTACCGCAGTTTGTTTTTTTTTCAATCTGTCTCACACTTGGAAATCAAAACAACGGAAAAGCTGATGATTTATTTTCCCCCAAAGGTGAAGGAAAATGTCCTTTCATTTATTCTCATGACAAAAACCGAACACTCCCCCCACTCAAAAACGAAGGAGCAGTATTTTGGAGGGGGGGGGGGGGTCTTCTTTTTTGGACTCGCTAAGGCGCGTGCGTTTAAGCTATCCGTTGAGGCCATCGTCAACATTTTTCGGGGAGTCGCTGTCACTCATTTGCCGCGGTCCGGACGGGCGAGCGGCGTTGACGACGGTGACGGGACGAAAGGCCGCAGGAGGAGGAAGCGGCGGGGGCGGCGGTGCGAGGAGGGACGGAAGGAGACGGCGGCGGAGAGTCCTTACCTTGACGTCGGCCTTCTTGTTGAGCAGAGTCTTGGCCGCTGCGAGAACAAACACAAGGCGGAGACGCTGAGCCGACGGGCGAAGGCCCTCCGATCCCGACGTGAGGAAAACATTCCAAGGGGGGGTTGGGGCTCATCCGGCCGGCGTGCCGTTGTCCGGCTCGCGACTGGACTTTGGAAATGCGGAGGCGAGGGTGGGCGAGGGACTCACGCGTGGGCGAGGGGCAACTTTTTCTAAGGGCGCATGTCTGAGTTTGAATATGCTCTGAGCTCCCATGCTGAGATAGAGCGAGCGGGGGTCGTCAAAGAGAGACAGCAGAAGGGGGG